ATAATTTATAAAATCTTAAAATTATTTTATTTTAATTTAATTTTTTATTGTGTATAATAAATAGATCCATTTCCTCCCCAGACAAACGTGCTATCCTATCAGGTTTTCTACTGAGACTTCTCTTTCTCTGGAGACATCTCTTCCAGGGCTGATACTATGTGAACCAGTCATTCTGAAGGCCTGTTGTTCATCTGTCATCCCAGAGCCTCCATTTACTACTTCTGGATTGGATCCACTGTTTCCTATATCCCATATCTTCCTGTACTTGGTTTATTCCTTTATTTTGTTAGAGGAAGTTCTCAAGTAGTTTTCAAATACATGTATGGGAAATAAATGTTCTGAGTCTTCTGGCATCCTGTGCATTACTCCTCAGAAATCTGATGCCATCCTGAATTTCATTTGTGGGCACAGAATGGAACAGATGAGTGAAGTTAACCAGATCCAGCCCTTCTGGGTGTGTATGTGAATGTGTGTGGTTGGCGGGGGTGGTAAGGGGTGGTGAGGGGGTTGGTAGGAAGTATGTGTGTAGAGGCAAGGTTAACAGAGGGAGGTATGACCTGGAGGAGCCTGGTTTTAAATTTAGGAAGCACACAAATGTGGCTGCCTTTGGTTGTCTCACTCTGCTAAAGAACCCCGATTATTGGTTTGAAGTCAATGTACAGGGTGATTTTCATGAACAACCTCATATTGGCCTGGTCATATCCATCTGTGCATATCCAGGACACAGATGACAGGCTGATCACCTCTGGGGTACCATGCATAGAGGCACTTGACAGGCTAGGCAGGGAGGCTGGACATGGTGGGGGACATGGGCAGTCCCCCAGCTGGGTCCAGAGACCAGTGGTGGAAGCAGTGGATGGCAGCATGGCTCAGCTGTAGTGTGTGAGGATAACAGGAATTTGTTTGCTGCATGAACATGGGTGATTGCCAAAGAATTCAGTGGGGTTCTAGGTTGCATTTAGTAAAGAAATGGCCTCCCGGCCAACAGAGTCAGGAGTCTGCTCAGCTTTACAGTGGGGCAGTTCACAGCTAGAGTATCTGGTTCTGATCTGGGTGTATGTTGTTCTGTAATGAATTTCTCACCCTTGAATGTTCATTTCAAATGCTCCTTTCTATGTAGAGCTTTCCTTGACGCTTCCCTTGCCCATAATTTATTTATTTGTCTGGATTCTTAGTCTCTATTTGCTTACCGCATTGCTATAATATACGTCCCCCTCCTCTACTGAGTCACATTCCCCAAGGATCCTCAGACAGGTCACTTCATCTCTGTGATGTCGAACCTGCTGTTCTGGCTCTGTCTTTGTCACTGGGCTTTGTAAAGATCAGATGAGGTGTACATTATGGTGTACAAAAAGCAAATGGGAGATCGTGTTATTTCCTGTGCATTTGTTCATGTGATACTGAGTAGCAGCTTCAGATTCACAAGCCAGTTAAGAAGCCGTTGTCCCCAGCATCTGTGTAGCATCTCTACTTTCGTATGTCCTGAATTTCTCAGTGGGGTAAAAAAAGCTTGCTATTTATTCTCCAACTTCCTCAGCACTGGGACCTTTTTTTCAGCTAATTCTTTTGCCTTCTTCCCTGAAGTCCTTAAGCTGTCACTGCTTAGCTGGGCTGTCGTACGGCTTCATCCTCTGTGACTCTGGAGGCCAAGGATCAAGGAAGTGGGCAGGGCCTGCCCAGAGCAGTTTGGGCTCTCTGATGTACCAGGCGTGGCCTGAGTTTGGGATTTGCAGACCCAGGTCCTAGGAACTGCACTGTATTTGTACTAAACCCAAAGGGGTTACTTGAGTACAAAAGGTCTGCTTCCCCTGGTGCTGGACAGTGACTGTTCCACTTCTCTGTGCTGCATGACAGGGCAATTGAACACTGGCCTACTGAGTCTGATGGACGTGGCAGGGCCGCAGGCCCACATCCTTGCACCGACCATCAGGGGCCCAAAACCAAGCTTGACCAGAGATGCCCCGTATGTCCTGCTGGGCTCAGCCATTGATCTCAAATCCTGGAGGCACTGGGTTCTGAAAGCTAAACTTGGGGGAGCTCCCAACATCAGCCACATGCTGTGCCAAGGCCAGCCCTCTCTGAGTGACCCTCCCGCAAATCCTTTTGTGAAACCAGGTCTCCCAGCCTAGACTCCTTTCCTCAAAGCCATTTTATTTAAGGAGCCTTCTCGCTACTGGGTCTTAGCTTGGGACTTGCAGGACAACCACAACATGAGTCTGGAAAACCAGGAGTTCAGATTTCTATTTCTTCCTTCCAAGAAGGCTCCTTATGCACAATGACCATCCCTTCCCTGGTGACCAAGCTTTACATACTGGAGATCTCAGTCATAAAGGATCTTTATGTACCTGTGGCTGTGGGTACATGCTCATCCTGTCTTTGCTTAACTAAATCACCCCGAGGATGACTGCATTTGGAAAAGAAGCTTGGCTTCTTTGGATTAAAATACTGTACCCAGTATAAATATGACACAGCCATCAACTGCAGGGAATCTGGGATAGCCTAGATGGGAGAGGCAGCCTGGCTGTGGGCACAACACACACGAGTGGACCGTGTCAAATTTCCTGGGGCCCTTCAGCAGTGGAGAAGATGTTGAGGAAAGAGCAAGAAGCCATGGACCCAGGGAGAGACCTGATGTAGTGGTGCAGAAACTCTGGGGGCCCTTGCATCTGGAATGGGCCTCACTCTGTGAGCCCCCTGCTGTTGCAGGGTCCGTGCACCCATGGAGGTAGGTGTGCAGGGTGTCGTGGCTTCATTTCGAATTGTGGACTAGGTAGCTTTGGAGGATATCTTCCAAGTGTGAGATTCTGTGAAAAATGACAAAATCGAGGCCATGAAACTTCATCTCTGCATGTAACAGCCTCTTAAAATCTTCAGTTGTACCCAGGACGTGGTACACTGCAGATGTGTCATTTAGGACGTTTCCCTCAGTCTTTGTGCACAGTTATTAGCCTTTTTTTTTTTTTTTTAAGTTTCTTCTGGTTTATTTCTCTTCTCTCTCATACCCTATGTTTTCTTGCTGCTTCAGCTTTTGAATCGAAAAGACAAGACCACCTTTGAGAAATTGGACTACCTGATGTCTAAAGAAGATAATTACAAGCGGACCCGGGAATATATCCGAAGCCTGAAGATGGTTCCCAGTATTCCCTATCTAGGTAGGAGTCTGAATTGGCTTATTATTTATTAAGAAACCTGCTCAGTGCCAAATGAGATGTTTTTACAGTTTCTAGTTGAGAAATTTCCAGAAGCAGCATGGGCCATGGATAAAGAGGTAATTGGTTAGTTCCTCAGATTGGAGCAGGCCTTCGATACTTCCCAAGGATGGGAACCTTGCTGAGCGCCTTGAAACAAGGGATATTGTGCTTCTTATATAAGTAACCTGTGAATCACAAGCCTCCCCAGCCTACAGCTTAGAAGGGTCACAAGGTTCATCCACATCCTCTTTAACTAGGGGAACTCAGGGCCAAAATTCTCTGTTCTGGATCTCTGGGCATTATTAACATATTTTATAAGATTTGTACCAACAAAATTGTAATGATTATTGATTTTTCTGATTAGAAAAAATACAATGTATGTTCATTGTAAGGGATTAGGGGAAGAAAATCAATATCATTTGTCACCCCACGTAGATACAATCAGTGTTTTGCATCATATTCTTTCATTTGTTTGGGTGCATATAAAAATCCATGTTTATAGTGAACATTTATTGTTATTACCTGCATTTCTATACTATGTCTCAATCCCATTGCATGGGATTTGCCAAACTTGAATTTGCTAACATTGACATTTAGGTTGATTCTACATTTTTGTTATTAAAATGTTGCAGTGAGCATCCTTATTGCAAAAACCTCTTGCATATAGTTATGATTATTACCTTACAATAAATTCTTAGAAGTGTGATTATTGGGGCAAAACATATGCAGATTTTTGCTTTTTTATGTATGTTTTCAAAACGCTCTCCATAGAGGCTGTAGCAACTTACATTTTCGTTGCAAGGGGTTAAAATGATCTATTTTTCCCATGTGAACAAATACTGTGTATTTTCGTCTGTGGGTTTTTTTCTTTTCCTTTCTCTCTCTCATTTTTTTTTCTTTGCCAATTTGATAGGTGAAAAATACTTCTTGTAGTTTGGGTTTCATGGTAATGCTAATTTCATGAAAAATATTTCTGTCTTTTATGACCTAAAAATAACACTAATAATAAGGAAAATTAAGATTTTATAGAAGTGGCTCCCTAATATTTTCAGAGATCTAGTGTTAATTTCTTGGAGGTACATTTTTGACAACTTACAAATATCTTCCATGAACATTGATTTCTAATTCCTTTTTTTTTTGAGAGAGAGAGAGAGAGAGAACACGAGTGGGGGGGTAGGGCAGAGGAAGAGGGAGAATCTTAAGGAGGTTCCATGCCCAGCGTGGAACCCAGCGTGGGGCTCAGTCCCATGAACCTGAGATCATGACCTGAGCCAAAATCAAGAGTCGGACGCTTACCTGACTGCGCCACCCAGGCCGCCCCTGTTTTCAAATTCTTTTAAAGTCATTTTGGGAAATTTAATTTTCAGAGAAAATTGTCCACTTGACCCAAGTTTACAGAATTATTTGCATGGAGTTCTTTTCCTCATTTAGTTTTCTTTGACCATAGTTTTATATAATATTCTCCTATAAATTTTAGCCTCCTATGTATGGATGTTTGTATTTGCTTTGCATTCCTGATAGTTTGCATTTTTGTTTTCTCTTTCTTTTTTTCATTTGCTTTGTCAGAGATATGTCTGTTGGTCTTCCCAGAGAATTAGACTTTGTCTTTATTGGTCACGTTGTCCTTCTGCTTTCTAGTTTGCTATATTCTGTCATCCTAAGATCTGCTTTTTGTCTCCACATTTTAGCACCTCTGAAGTTAGGATGCATCTTTCAACTGATGGCAAACAAAGCATTGTGACATTAATTGGAAGCGATTTTTCGTAGTTATACATGAGATAACAGTGTGTTTTAGAATGACATCCTATATTTGATGAAATATGGACTTTCTGCTTTTGTCTTTTATAGTTCATCTCTCCTGTTTTCCTTACAATTGTTTTGTTATTTCTGTTAACTACTTTGGTTGTATTATTGGCTCATTTGTATAAATACTACCCTCTCCACTTTAATTTGGAGAACAGTTAAGGGCATACATTTTGCTCTGATGGCTGCTACATGTTTTGTGATACAGTGTTCTCAGTGATACTCTTTTTTTTTTTTTTTTTAAGATTTTATTTATTTATTTGACAGAGAGAGACACACAGTGAGAGAGGGAACACAAGCAGAGGGAGTGGGAGAGGGAGGAGCAGGCTTCCCGCTGAGCAGAGAGCCCGCGGGGCTCTATCCCAGGACCCTAGGATCATGACCTGAGCCGAAGGCGGTCGCTTAACGACTGAGCCACCCAGGCGCCCTCTCAGTGATATTCTTTAAATGTTCTGTGATTATAGTTTCAGTTTTTCTTTTATCCACATAATAGTTAAGGTAGTGGTTTTTTTAATTTTTAAGGACTTGAATTTTCTTCTTGTTTTAAATGGCTTTATGAAGATAGAATTTACGTCCCATCCATTTAGAGTGTCCAGTTCGGTGGTTTTCAGTCTATTCACAGAGTTATGCAGCCATCAACACAATTTTGCAACATTTTCATCATCCCAAAGACGAACTCCTCACCCGTTAGCGGTCACTCCCTTTTCCTTCTGGCCAGCTCTCTTCTGCTCTCACCCCCAGCCCTCGGCAACTGCCAGTCTACTTTCTGTCTCCATAGATTTGCTTATTCTGGACATTTCATAGAAATTTAATTGCACAGTATGTGGTCTTTTATGACTGGCTCTTTCCCCTTTACTATCATGTGCCCAAGGTTCATCCATGTTGGAGCATAATCACTCCATTCCTTTGCATTGTCAGATAACATTCCATTGTGTGGAAACCCCACATTTTATTTATTTATTTGATGGACATTTGAATTGCTTCACTTTTTGGCTCTCACGCATCACAGTGCTACGAACAGCTTTGGTTTTTAAAAACATAGTCTTCTCTCTAATTTTTTTACATGGGTTTAGGATATGTGGCATATATGCTTTCTGGGTTTAAGAAAAAGTTTAACATTTGTTTTTTGGTTTAAAATAAGATCATTTTTTGTAAATGTTTCATGGGTGCTGGAAAAGAAGGTGAGATCTCTCAAATTGCTCTTACAATTGCATTAGAATATTTAAATGATTAATTTGTGATAACTTAGTCTATCAAGGACAGAAATATATGTTGGACTCCCCTTGCATTTCTGATAGCTTCTGCCTTACATTATTTAGTATATAGAAGTTTATAACAATTGTATGGGGCGCCTGGGTGGCTCAGTCGTTAAGCATCTGCCTTCGGCTCAGGTCATGATCCCAGGGTCCTGGGATCGAGCCCTTCATCGGGCTCCGTGCTCGGCGGGGTCCTGCTTCTCCCTCTCCCACTCCCCCAGCTTGTGTTCCCTCTCTCGCTGTCTCTCTCTCTGTCAAATAAATAAATAAAATCTTAAAAAAAAAAAAGAAGTTTATAACAATTGTAAATTTATGGTGAAGTGTCCCGTACAAAATGATCTTGATTCTGTTTGTTAATTGTGTTTACTTCTTTGTCTGATATTACTTCTGTGAAATCTGTTTTATTTCTCATTTACATTCATTTTATAAACCTTTGACTATATTTTGGGTTTGAATATTTTAGATTGCTTTAAGTGTGATCCTTGAAAACTGCAATTAGTTGGACCCAGTATGAGAGATCTTGCCTTTTAGTAGGGGAGTACTCTTCCACACACTTTTAGCCTTGTGCCATATTATTATTGCACATCCTTTTAGCCTTGTGCCATATTATTGAATCGAACATCATTCTATGCTTTCTTTTTTATGCTTTCTTATTCTTTCCTTGTTCTTCTCTATGGCTTCTACAGTGTCTTTCTACTTGACATGCAGATCACTACCTCAGATTACAGTGGGAGGGCATGTTGATTCGCACAGCTCACAAACCCATTCCCACTCTCCCCGAGGCTAATCAACTGAGGGATGAAATTAGATAGTATTAGGGCGAGCGATGCCTCCTGCAGGCCCAGTGGTTCAACTAGCAGAGGTGCTCCCAGATTGTTAGGGATGACCTCTTCTCTGTTCCTAAGAATGAACATGAGAGCTGCCGTTTATTGTCTGCTTTCTCTATGCCTGGCACTTTGCTAGGCGTTGTAATGCATTATCTCAATGAATACTCACAATGGCCCAGTGAATAAGCAGGCACTGAGAGGTTGCCTAGGGTCACATAACTAGAGAGTGGCAGAGCCAGGACTTGGCCCACATGGTCTGGCCATAAGCCCTAAGCTCTTGACACTGCCTTCTCCTGATGCCCCACCTCCACTGTGCAGGTCATTATTTTCCTATTCCTCCCTTGCAGTTGGCACCTGTGTGTTCTCTGCCATTTATAACTTGTGGGTGGCCTCCATCAGACACTATATGAAGTGGGATGAATTGTGTTGACTCTTTCTTGTGACATTCTCTGTTCTTGGACCTCAAGGCGGTGATGTGTTGGGCTTCTGAGGGCAAAACGGACCAATACTGTCTCCCCTTTCTGAACCCTGCCCCTTGTAATCAGACCACGTGTCTGAGTCATCTCCTCAGGCCGCTGGCCAGAGGGCCCTCGTTCATCACCCGTTGGCTCTCGTGGTCTGCACTTGCAGTGGACGCATAGCCTGGGCCGGCCCCGAGTTTCTAGAGCCATGGCCCTCCTTGTCCTTGATGGCCTCATCTCAGCAGCCTCTTCCTGGAATTAGGTAGTGGAGAGACTCTGTTTAGGCCTCGGTGTGGCTCAGCGCTCCTGCTTCTTACCTCTAAGAGCCCAGCTTAGCTGCCCTGCTCTGGGCTTGCAGCCTGATGGCGATTTCCGTCCCCCCTCAGCCAGTCGGGCTGCATTTCTCACACTCATACAAAATAACTCTTGACATACCCCAGCAAGAGGGAGACAACAGGAAGTAATGCCAACATGCTTTCTGTTCTCAGGACTGTGTGAGGGTTTACCATGGGGGGTGCCACAGTTTCGTTAAAAAGAAGGAAGCAAGATCCCATTCTGAGGCTTAGTGGGCCCATCGTCCTGAGGGCAGCTGGAGCCCTACCTGCCCATCTGAT